CCCCATGCGGAGCCATGACGGGTACAACCCCGGAAAGATAAAGTGAAAGAGAAACACGATCCGGCACGGCTACTTTGCCCTTACTATGCCAGAGATTCTGAGTCTTCGCCGAAAAATTATCCGATGGAAGTCTGCGTAATCCCCGTACTCCCGTACATACATTGCTTCAGAGATCGCCACACATTCTCTGACACTGTAGCGCCCCAGCCGATTCTGATTATGAGCTCCGTCCTCTTCCGGAACGTTCTGGAAGAGCACCATGGTCCTTAATCGGATTTCATCGACGGATCGCTGTCCTCGATCAAGTTGACACTCGCTGTGGTTGGTGAGCGTTTGCTGTCCCCACAGGGTGCTCACAAGCAGATTCGACTGAGGGATGGCTGAGTTTTTAGGGCAGCCTGCCCTCTCAGGAAACGACATTTTTCGAACGGGAGGTTCCTGGTTCGACTTTGACAGCCATGCACTCTGAAGGTGATATTGTGGACCGGGAAGAGCTGGACGGTGAAGAGACGAGTGTTCGTAGCTCTTCATAATGATATCATTTTTTCCTGCTTGGAGTGCTTGGTACTGCCTGTAATCATATGCTTGTCTTCCAGAATAACCCATGCCATTCTTTATGACCCCAGATCCAAAAGTGGTGAACTCGCGGCCGACCTGGAAGATCGGTCAAGATTCCATGATCCGTTCACTTTGTCGGATAATGAAGTTGCACCCAGAGCTGACTCTAAGGTTCACTGCGCCTCAATTAGCACAAACCTCGCCCTCTCGGCGACTGCAAAGGGCTGAAAATGCTTCTTCGTGTTAGTTCTCGAAGTATCAGACTCCTCAACTGATGATGAATATGATGTCGTTGTGATCGATTCCCATATTCCCATCGCAATCGAGAGCGGGGACAAGCCTCGAATTCCCTGCCGTGGTTCCAGCAGCCTTCCCACGATCAGTCTGAGGTTTATCATGTTACAAGGCCGCCACGTAATCAGGTTCGCCAGCGAGCAATGAAATCAACCGGCGTAAACACAGTTGTAACGAGCAGCACAGCAGCTGCGTATGACACGAATATTTCTTTCACCTGTCGAAGACTAACAGCACTGTAGCTCGCCGTATCATCGTACATCTTGAACTCGGAATACAGGCCTCCCAACTCCCGTATTGTAGCGTTGATCTCCTTCTTGAGAGGATCTACTCCCCGACTGTTCCAAAATGCATTCTCATTCCGATCCCACGGATGAAGTGAACTATTCACATGTGGGTGCTTCAGCAAATCGTGTTCGAGAATCTGATTCGTCATTCTGATGTGTTCCTCCAGCAATACCTGTCCACCGTTGCTCTCGCCCACCGAACAGAAATGTTGATTGTGAAATGCACGAGAGCTGGTCACGAATTCGAACAGAAGTTGCTTTCTCAGTCGGAAAGCTTGCAAGCGCACGATGTGGGGCTCATTGCAAAGCGTCAGGTACTGTAGGAGCAGAGCCAGTTTCGTCTCCTCACGCATGCCAATCGTAGAAACGGATTTTCTCGGGCAAGCGACTTCCATGTTCTTCTCGACCACTGCAGCCCGCGGTCCTTTATATTGGATCAGCCCCGGAATGAATACGTCAGTCAATGGATGCCGTTCGAACCACGGCAAGCGATAACCTTGGAAGGCGCAGGATTCCACTGTGCAATTAGATGGTTGAATTCTCTGCTCGTACCGAGATGAAATCACCTCCCCCTTCAGCAGACTAATGGGGAATTGGATCAGCAGCGACACTAGCCCGCAGATGAGCAGCACAAGTACCCCCTGATCGGCGGAGCTGATCAGGGTATCGCCGTCGTGTCCGCTCAGTAGATGATGGATACTCGCCCACGTTGAAGATTTCGGCACTATCGATCGGTAGCGACGCATTGAGAGAATTAAGGGGAGCGCGACCAGTGACGCGATCGTCAGAGGCACTTCGAGAGTAGCATATCGGTGGAGGTTTGAGATGAGCCGCACTTCCCACGGCAGAGGGACCGCTGCTCGAATCGCCATGAATGTGTGACCGAACACGAAGATATTGTCATTCTGCAACAAAACTATCAATGATCTCAGCGTCTTCGAGTCAACTTATTCAGAGATATCATACGACCATGATTAATGGATGGAGGCTCTACACCTTCCACATCATACTGACATATTCGCAGCTTTTCAAAATGAATCGATCCCAAGCATCCTCGCCTCCGACTAGGAGAATTGAGAACCCCCGAAGGGTGAAACGTATGCTGAGGTTCGATGCCGCATGAGCAGTGAGGAATAAATCGGAGACATCGGACGGATCGAAGCCCTTCAATTGGAGTCTGACCACACTCCTGCCGATGATTCGAGCCGTTCTCCTCACGGTTAGTGCCTTGAGTAAGACATCAGCATTCTTCGCCCTCAAAATCATGAAGACCCTTGCGTAGCGCTGGAAATAATACTTCCAGAAAAGCTTGTCCCTCAAAGCCTTGTCAATTTTCTTCGAACGTGTTCCATCGAGCGCTCCTGAGTCGTGCTCCCGCACTTGAATCAGAACTCGCCGTTCCAGATGCAGACGTTGAACATTTCCTTCTGTCCTGCTGCAATCACGATGACCACACTGCTTGTGCAGACCCCAGAATTCGTTGACGGCGCCTTCGAGTGGCTTGGGGTCGCGTTCCCAGGAAATGACGATTTCTCGATCGTTGCGTTTGAGGGGGAAATGTTGATCCGCCAGAAACACTTGCGCGTGAGGTAGTTTCCACAGGAATCGAAACAAAGCGCTGTGCTGAGGGGTGGTGAAGAGAACAAAGACGAAGGTCATTTTCCGCGTTTGCGAGTATTGAGAACAGATGGCTTCACAAATCCAGCGAACAGTCAAACTTGCTTCTGCTCTGATGCGGAGCCTCACGGATGCGGAGCTGCTCGGAGTCACAAGGACAACGAGGAAGCACAAGAACGCATAGAGCCTCCGGCAGCAGACAGGGCCGATCAGCATCCTCAGCAACGTATTCTTTGCTGCAGGTGTTGCAATCGAAGGCGAAAATTCAGTAGTGAAGCTGCGAGAAGGGAGGGTTCATCCCTCTCGAAACGCCCGGAGAGGTTCTCTCGACACTTCTCAGTCGACTTGGCCCAAGAGAATAAGGGAGGATCGATGCATCGATGGCACTGATATCTTACGGCGGCGAACGAGTGGTCGTGTTGGCAATATGAGCAGAGCCAGGATCTTTGCGATCCAATTTGGATTAGAGAACGAGTGATGTACCACATCATTCTAGGCTTCCCCTGGAGACAAATCGCGTTGTCGAGTGGTGGCCAGGGACGCAAGAGTCATTGCCGACTCCCCGTCAGGATCGATAGTGAGATGTAATACGACCCAATGACAGAGAACTCACTCTCGCATGCAATACTCACGCTGTTTGACATCGGAACGCATCGGAATTCGAGTATCAATTCTTCCTGCCATTCTTCCCTTGAAATTACGCAGAAGGCGTGGCTTGTCGGTCGATAATTTCCCCGTAGATGTCACCCTGGTCACGACAGGGCTCATCCGGTGATCGGCGGCGTGGAGCGAACGCATCCGCTCCGGAGCTTGGAATGTTACAGTAGCAGCGCCAGTTTCGTCCCTTCACGCATGCCGATCCTAGACAGAGATGTGCTCGAGCGAGCTAATCCCTTGCTGCTTCCGACCTTCCGCAGCCTGTGCACTCCTCGATTCGAATAGCTTGATAATGAAGACGTCTACCCCCATAGACCGCCACGAGATGTATGATAGGTAGCGACTAGCGACGGTAGGAGAGAAACATGGGGAGCGTCATGAGAAGATGCGACAGTCAGCGGCGGATCGAGCGCCGCATATCGGTGCAAAATGCGGCGCGCCTCTGACGGCAGGGAACCGTGAATCGAACCGCCATGTAGGTTTTTCAGAAATCTTGAATGGTAGTTTTGCAGATGGAAAGATGAAATCTTCAATCGTCTCGGAGAGCATCACTACCCGTATCAAAGCTCTAGCTTTTCGACTGACAAAACCCAAGTGACACTCACGAACTCGCAGGCCTTCACAATGGAGAGGTCCGTCAGATATTCTCCTCCAGTGAAAACAATCGAGGATTCCGGGGACGTGAAGCTCATGTTGCGACTTGCTACTCGAAGCCCAGGAAGTCTGAAGGAAAAGTCCTTGCGCATCATACATCTGAATCGGTCTGACGTCGACCCTGATGAGGATGAGAGCTCAGGCAGTCTGCCAGTGGTAGAGCAACATCGTCGTATTTCGGCAGAAGACCGCCGTCAAGTACGCTTGTGAGCCCTCCGGAGGCAATCACTCAGCTTTCGTATCGAAGCGACTTCCTCTCTGGCTCGGATGACACAAGAGGCCCTCAGTCGTAGCCTTGGTCTAATCCCTGACATGAGAGGACAGAATCAATACCGCGAAAAGTTACGAACAGATTGAATATCGCCGATTCGGAAGTTTCGTTTGATTCGTGATGATTCCAGTTTCTATCGTTCAATTTCTCCCAGGAAAATCACGAAGGAGCCATCCAGAAGGCCGAACGACGAATTACAGGTTTCGTATACTGCAGGATCTCCCCTTAATCTTCGGAGGGTTTCCATCGCGCCTTTCTCTAGCCCTCGTTCTCAAAGCGTTTCCGAGCTGCATGTGCCCGTCCCCGGCTCACGTCAAGCGAAGACTCAAGTGAGAACCTCCACCCGTAGCACATTGAGGTCAGATCATGATAGAGCGTTATATGGAAGCTGGACTTGGAGAGATCGGAAGCGATTTTCAGACAGATGTCACGAAAAGCCACTCAGAGAATCGGAACTCTGTCAGTGTCACGATGCGGAGTCGCTTCGAATCTTTAACGCTTCCTAAATAGCTCAAACGGCCAAAAAGCCGATTCTAGATTGACACAGTTCATATGCTATCAGTGGGTCAGGCAGTCAGCTTCTTGGCTTCGACCTGCTCGACGATCACGATGAAATCATCAGTAGTGCTCCTCTGCCTATGCGCGCAAATGCTGAGCGCGGAATCGAGTGGGCTCGTCTGTGGGAGACGGAATACGCCTCTCGAGGGACGAGCCGTCATGAAGCCCATCATAGGTGGTAAAGTGACGCACAAAAATGAGTTCCCCTGGCAGATTGCGTTGAGAGTAAGTATCTCAAGGAATCGATCCAAACAGCTCGAGTGTTCATCTCGCACCCAAAGATTCTCGAAGCGACTTCATGCGCACGAGAGATTCTATGTAGAATATGCACAGCTCGATGGAGGAGAAGCCCGATGAGTCCAACTACTCGGCGACAATGGCGACCGTTCCCCATGAGGAGGATGGGGGCATCGGGGAGACGCTTCTTCGCCAGAGAATGATTTTGCTCAAGAACGCGTCGTCGGAAGAAATCAACCCGCAGGACCGCAAGCGGGAACGCGTGCGGAATTCCAAATCTCCCGGATACCTCACAATAATCCCTCAATTCACAGATTAGGCAAGAGAATCAGTGGTTTCTGCACTGCGGAGCTACCCTGCTCAACTCTTGGTGGATCTTGACAGCGGCTCACTGCTTCAGGAATCCACTTGATTTGGACAAGTATCAGATCGTAGCAGGCGCCCAAAATCTCCTTGAAGGCGAGGAAACGACGCAGTATCGCGGCTTACGGCAGTTCATCCTTCATCCGGGCTGGAATGCCACCCTCTTAATGGTGGGTGGCACAGTGGGGCCGACCGAATGGACCGCTTGGAGGAACTACGGGTTCGCTTCGCTGGGCGCTACAATTTTCTCCCTTCTCTGCAGAATGATCTCGCCTTGTTGAGAGTCGATCAGCCGTTCAGACTCAATCAAGAAGCGGTCGCTCCAGCCTGCCTGCCGGATGAGAACGGCAGCGACGACGAAAATGAATTCTGCTACGCCACGGGCTGGGGTGCCGCTGGGATGGAAGGGGACTCACCGATCCATCACAACGAGACGCTGTTGTACAAATCTAAACTTCCTCTGATCCCAAGGTCTCTCCGAAATTATATGAGTCCTGATATACGTCACCACTGCGATCTGTGATCGATTCTCGATCGCTCGCTAAGCCCGCCTTCCAGGTTCAAGTCTCTCCCTCATTTCCAGGTCCGAATGCGATGCCAGATATGTGAAGAAATACGATATAAGGATTTCTCCGAAACAGCTGTGCGCTGGGAGGAACAAAGACAGTGGAACCTGCGTCGGTGATTCCGGAGGACCTTTATCCTGTGAAACGGGAGGAACCTACAAAGTTGTCGGAGTAACAAGTTTCGGAGGACGGCACTGCAATACCAATGTTTTCCCCGACGTTTTCACAAGAGTCTCGGCCTATCGTAGATGGATTTTGGATCACATTGGTCAGGACTACTCGTGACTCTCCTTTCGAACAACGTTCTGACTGGGACTATTTAATGATTGAAGCCTACGAAGTAAAGAATCGTTCCGTGGCTCGGCAAATAGTGCTCACTCTCGCGTCGGTACCGATTCAGAATCGACCGCTACGCACGGAGCGGCAGGTTATGATCTCTTCCAGAAAAAAAACTTCAGGGCGGGAAGCATCGGTAGCGAAAGCATTCATGCACGTCGCGAATCGCAATTTAGGCTGCTCCTTTGAACCAGAAAAGATCCACTCTCTCAGGAAGCTGCTTTACCGAATAAGATTCCCTCAGGTTGAAAGTCGATTCTCGTTCTGGGGAGCGAGAACACGTTCAATTTTCCAGGTCTCTTCAATTTTCCAGGCATCCGATCTCTATCGTGAAATCTGTGAGTCGACACTCACGGGCATAAATCATACCGGGATCGATAAGTCCTATTCTGCATCAGATATTGGAGTGCCCAATAATCATCTCGATTTGATCGGTTCAATATGCAATGCGTAGAAGCTGGTATCTGACTGATAGGGGCGATTATCCCTGTCGGTCAACCTTGGAATCCGATAAAACCGTGAAATGAGCAGGGATATCTGTGATTGGAGTAGAACTCCTACACCGGGGAAGTTGAGATTCTCTCCTCAGATCAATTATTCCCCAATCCATTTCTGTCGCTCCCCGATGCAGAACATTGTTCTCCATAGAGGAAGGAAATGAAGGATGTCACCAACATATCATGAATCGTTAGAAAAAAAACAATTCTGTCCTGGACGCAATACTCACAACATACCACATCTCGTCACGAGCTCGTCGCGGTCTGTGATCATAAGTAAGGCTAGGAATAATTCACGGCATTTCTCCCGAAAATTCACGGCAATTTTCACCCCCATTGACTTCCTATGGAGGATCGCCTGGAAATACCGTGAAAATTCACGGCTTTTGGCGCGATCGCGCCAACTCCCCAGCCCTAATCATAATAGCCGGATCTCACTGTGGTCCGTCTAATCCACGCTCGAGCCGCGTGCCAGGGAGATTTGTCACAGAAGCCCGACCGAGGACTTTTTTACGAGTTACGGCGCGGATGATGGCGTCGAAAAATTTCCATTGATTTAGATTCGGTAAAACTGAAAGGGTCGAGTTTCACTCGCTCATACTAGCGTAGGCAGGGATGTCCGTTCTGTACGGCTCGTAAGCCCGTCTAGAGTGACAAGCGAGCCCGGTAACGAATGACCCCGGATTATACGCCCAGGGTATTTAGCAGATAACGCCAAGATAATGACAGCGGAACCTGGAAGGGGATGCCCGATTCCCCCGAGTGGTTCTTCGAGAGCATTCAATGACGCCCGGGAACAGAATGAGAGCGCATGCGAGGAATACGAGATCATAGGGGTTGCAACGCTCCGCCGATATTCAGGTTATTTCATCAATAAACTCGACGGAAGCCGCCTGACTTGTATGATCGAACTGTGTAGGGGCTATGGACCATACTGTGTGGTGCTTCCGGAATCTCATTCCGGGACACTGAATGACACTAACACCGTGTTACACCATCTCGAACCGGGAAGAGCAGCGGGAGTTGAGTTTTTCTAGAATCTAGACCTTATCCGAACTTCCTCCTCGACTCGTATAGACCTCTCCCGGATCTGGAAGCTTCCATCGGAGGATGAAGCTCGTCGCGATTTGATGATGGAAACTGCCAGATGATTCGACTAGCTTTGCTTCTTCTGGGAGTCTTACGTCAATTTATCCGCGGCTTTATCCTGATTCCTGCACAATGAGCTTAAACCATCGACATGCTCGAGAGCCAGGATCTCTTACCCCGCTCGATATAAATCATTGACTGAAGGATTAGGGTAAGGAACTTTCCTCTCCGGAATGTCACACAATCCACGGCTCTACGGATAGCAAATCACTCGGAGAGTGACGCAGAAAAATCGGCTTTTTAAAACAACGCATTCGGTCCGATCATACAGTCGCAAGATGAGAGCGTCCCGAGTACTAGCGGTCAGCTTGGCGTTCGTTGCGTCGGCTTCGGCCTCGGCCGTTGCATGCGGCAAGCGGAACTCGTATTCCCTCTTTATGGACGCTCTCCAGCTCGAAGACTCTAATTACATCGTCGGTGGTACCCGAGCGGTCAAGAACGAATTTCCGTGGCAGGTGTCGATTCAGGTAAGAGTCGATGTCGTCTTTTGATCGCGATCTCCGTGATAGGAACACTGGCCAAGCTGCTCAGATGATAACGCCAACAAATCCAACATTCATGTCTCATTCAGGCCGCGGTGCGGTCGGGATTGTGGTTCAAGAAGAAGCAACACATCTGTGGCGGGTCCATCATAAACGACAGATGGATCCTCACTGCCGCTCACTGTATTCTGGATAACGTGCGCCTGAATGATTACTACATCGTCGCCGGATCCCAATACGTAATGGAAGAAGAGGATACCACTCAAGTGCGGAAGCCTGAGAAGATAATTGTCCACCCAGGCTGGGACCCAGAATACGTCCAGGTGAGTTTCCCAACAGTGTGAGCCCCGGACTCCGAGGTCGACTTCGCGCGAATCCGTTTTCAGATGACTCATGCGGATCTGAGGGATTATCTAAGAGGAAATATTTTTTCTACTTCGCAGAACGATATCGCCCTCATCAAATTGTCTCAACCATTGTACCTATCAGCGAGATCTGTGGCACCTATCTGCCTGCCGAAGAGCAGTGACAACAACAAATTCCACGGAAAAACTTGCACCGCTTCCGGCTGGGGGGCCGTGGTCGACCGCGGACAATCTTCTTCCGTCTTGCTCAAGGTCAATCTCCCCATTGTCCCCAAGTAAGCTCAGAGGTCGATTCGAGACTCAGATGACGTCTACGCTTTCCGATGAATACCTGCTCCATGGCTCCCTTAGAATGAATGCTTTCGATCTCGTCAACACCATGAGAATCTCTAGTAGACTCATTGCGATGCACTGTTCGCTCAGACAAAGTTGGCAAAGATTCGACTGGCGTTCCGGCTGATTTTGTTTTTCGTTCCACAAGCAACCTCTGCTCGTATCTGTACAGCAACGTGGTCAATAGTCGACTCAACGAAAACCACATCTGTGCCGGGGACATCCACAGCGACGGAAGCGGAGTCTGCCAAGGCGATTCGGGAGGTCCCCTCGTTTGCGAAGAGGATGGCATTTACACTCTTGCAGGTCTCACCAGCTTCGGCGTAGTTTGCGGCGCCAGTGAATTCCCCGCTGTCTTCACCCGCATTTCGTCGTTCCGCAGCTGGATCGACAACAACATCGAATGAATCTGACCCTGGTGCTCCAATAAAGCTGTGCGGTCGGAGAACGCATCAGCTGACTAATTCTTTGCTCCGATCTTGTGTGGCCCGCCATCGGCCTCCGCGGATGATTTCCGCTCGCGAATGCGAGGAATATCCGCTGACTTCGGACATAGGGCGTTCCCTAAGCTGGGGAGAAGCTTCCGCGCCCGAGAAGCTAGTTCTCGACGGAAAATGCTCTGGGAATGCTTTCCGATGCCAGCGGGATGATGTCTTTTGTCGTCTGATCTTGATTCTCAGCTTCGGTTCACGTTGGGAGGAATGTATGTCACTAACCGGTTTTGCTGGGAAGCGTCTGTGTGAATTCGAGCTCTTCGCTCCATCAGAAGTTTTCAGGTTCATTTTCCTCAAGTACAGGTGCCCACTCTTTCAATTCGGTTTCCTCGGCGCATCGCGCCTCACGGTAACGTGGGTGAATGATGCCGGAGAATACGTTGCGGAATTCTCGCTGGGCGTGAGGACAGGACGTACACCTACGGTGGCGAATCTGTGATCCCGAGTGTGCGCGCTATGACATGCTTTCGTGCATATATACATACATATATCAATGGTTTCTGGATTTCTATACCATATAAAGCCATTTCCGACTTGTCCCGCATTTCGAGCATTCTCCGTGCTCGTTGCCTCACCTACATGCGCCAATGGGAAGTTGGGGATGACGCCTTGTCAATGAAATGGGTCATTGATTGTCATGCGGATTTTTTCCCATGCTTTGCTCTCTTCCGTACATAAAAGGCACAGCCTCAGTGATCACATGATATTCGGCATTCAGAGCGTTTCGGGGCCTGTGCGGAGGGATTCCCTTGTTACAAATACTTCCACAACCACTCCCTGTGTCCTCTACGACGTCCGGGAGGTTCTGATCTTAAGATCGCTCAAATCATAGGGAGTCTCGTTCCGATAACACATGCAGCTCCAGGACGCTGAAATCCTCAATCGGGAAGGGCGATTTGCGCTCGAAGGTCTCCGAGGAGAATAAGGTCCATCGATCCCCTCCGCAGGAATACCAAAAGAGCGCAATCGGACTCCCAGGCTAGGTACAGAGTTTGTTATGAATCTCCAGAAGGACCCGCCGTTCCGATGCTGTACAGTGTGTCGTGAACGGAGCAGTTGTGCCGAGTTCGATGCGCTAAGACACGTAAAATCACATCGCATCGATCTTCGGGTCGATAACCGACTGAAAACTGCCCCGGATAATAGGTTTATACGAATCCGATATCGAACCTGACTCATCGCATTGTATTTCGTCCGATTCTCCTGGGAAACAGTTCTTTAATCCTCGAATGATACGGCGCTCGAAGACTGATTCAAGCGCGGACCATGCGCCAACTTCCCCTCATTTTCGCTCATTCGACAACCTGCAGTGATCCCGCGCAGGAATCGCGTTCCGCGCGGATTGGATCTGCACTCAGATTGGGACCTGCGTGCAATTATTCAACTCGCGCCTGAAGTAGCTCCTGCCTGGCGTGCCCGTGTGCCGGGATCCCGCGACTCTCTCAGTGCGCATCGTTCTCCGGAGCTTTAGGCTCGATTCCGGTGCAGAGCTTACTTCTCCCGAGGGTCACATTCGCGGCGCGACGGATGACGCGGATTACAGGAGAGCATACCACTCGGAATTAGGCTTTTATCGGCTCGGGACAAGCGCATTTGGCCCGGATTCCCAGCAACGAGATGGAAGCTTATCAAGTACTAGCAGTCGTCTTGAGTCTCGTGGCCTCAGCTTCAGTTGTAGCCTGCGGCAAACGAAACTCGTATTCACCCTTCATGGCCGCGCTCCTGCCCGATGACTCTGACTACATCGTCGGTGGCTCCCTCGCCGGCAAGAACGAGTTCCCTTGGCAGGTTGCAATCCTGGTAAGAATACATCGAGGCCATCGAGCATTTATTGCCAGTGTTTGCCACTATCCGTGCCCCAGGTGTTGGGCATCGATCTGATGAGCTGCATGGTTTTATGGTTCTTGGTCGGTCGCGTCCCTTTCTGCTTGCTTGAAAAAAGGATCGGTAGCGAAGGGGTCGGGCAGGAGAGTGACTCGGCTTCATTTCTGCATGGAATCTGCAGGCGCACCGATCTCAATTGATTTCGCTCGGTGTTGCCTCACTATGATTACTTTCGGAGGTGCTCGAGCTCGCCAGTCATCCTCCGGTCGATCTGACCATCGATCGAGCTCACTAAGACCATATCTAAGAGGAATTTTTGGACGTAGACCAGACGACAGTTTTGTGGCGGCTCCATCATCAGTGACAGTTGGATCCTCACTGCGGCTCACTGCATAACGGATGAGCTGCAGCAGAGTGAATACCTAATCGTCGCTGGGTCTCGACACGTTAAGCGCCGAGAGAGTACTTCTCAGATACGGAAGGCCGCGAAGATTATTGTTCATCCAGGCTGGGACTCGCAGTACTTCATAGTGAGTATCTGAAGCCGAATCCGGTCACGGATCGCATGGTGGATAACCTTCCTCTTTTTCGGACGATTCAGTGTTCCAAGGAGAATGTGAGAAGCTATGCATCTCGCTTGCAGAACGATATTGCTCTGATCAAATTGTCCCAGCCGTTGGTCGCGTCAGCGAGCTCTGTGGCGCCTGTTCGCCTCCCGGAATCCTCAGACGCGAACCGATTCAACCGGAAAACTTGCACCGCTTCAGGGTGGGGAGCCGCGTACAACGATGGACCAACTTCGCCTGTGTTGCTCAAAGTCGATCTCCCTATCGTTTCCAAGTGAGTTCTACGACTAGCTCGCGGCTGAGAAAATTCCGAGGCTTTATCATGGAGATCTGTTCTCAGAATCGTTGCCCTCTTCCGAGAATGATCTCTCTGTCATTCTTCTTCACATCGGCGATCGTTCGCTGAACGGTTCACCAAAACGTGACTTCCGTTGAATGTCTTCTTTCCCCTGCTAGCTACATCTGCAATAACCGTTACTTTGACGTGCGTGACGTTCGAATCAACGAAAACCACATCTGCGCTGGGGATCTCGATATCGACGGAACCGGGGTCGGTCAAGGAGACTCAGGCGGTCCTCTGGTTTGCGAGGAGAATGGCGCTCACCTCCTGGCAGGTATCACTAGTTTCGGCGTTGACTGCGGGGACAGCAAGCATCCTACCGTCTTCACTCGCGTCTCGTCGTTCCGCAGATGGATCGATAGCAACATTGCCTAGGACTTTTTCTTCTTCAATAAAGCTGGCTGGTATATTGAATGGCTCCCGAAAGGCCATCGGCCCTCGGGCCTCTGCGAGGAAAATTCTATTGACCCCGCGCTCTCCCTCGAATGCCGTCATACACCATTTTTGTAATGTGCGGGAAACGCTCCACTGGTGGATCGCAGTCGCTACCGTTTACCATCTCGAGATAGACGCTCTCTCGCAGTTTTGACACCAAGCGCTCCAAGCCGGAGTATCAATCGGATAAAATCTTCGAGAAGAGATTGATGATCGGAATTGCGGGAAAATCCGACTGTACGCCGAGGGATTGCCTTCGGATCCTCGCGAGCAGGGTAAGACTCTGAGAAGATTGTGTCCTCGGGAGCAAGCAGAACTCGCCGGAAAATGTTTCAGAGTTCTGAAGAGATGGAGTACGCCGACCAATCAACTCGAGTGATCCGAGCGCGGGCAGCTGTTGAGAGATAGACAGATCGAATTGAAAGTTCAGTAATGCCTGGGAGCAGCCTAATTTGGTCAGCTCCTCCCAAGTCCCTATACTTGATGATTGTCATTTCTGGGTTTACGCTGAACGAACGCTCAATCTTCGTGGAGTACCGGAGGACATGCTCCGTCGAGAACATGTAATGAAAGTATACGAAATCCCCAGGGCATGATTCAAGACAGCGACAAATGGCTCGCCAGGAGTCGGGGGAAAAAGAGGAAGGGTCGAAACTTTCGTTTTACATCACAAGGCTGCTTCCTAGGCTGCTTGGAGATGCACGGACGCGATGCTTCCGTCAGAAACATTTTTTTCTGCTTTTGGCTCCGTTTCTGTTCGCAAATTATTGGTGATTCTCAGCCCACAGAGGGTGCGCCAGCACTTGAAAACCTAATTAAGGGAGTCTCCCGTATCTGCGGAGCCATCTCTTCGCGATCTCTCAGGGATCCCAAATTTATTCCCGTGTTTGTTCTCCACGTCCAAGATGGCCAGAAGCAATTATTTGACTTCCTCTGGAAACTGCCGAACAGCCATGTCTACCTCTCGCCGCAGTCTTTTCCGCTTAAGCGAGATGACAGAGAGATCGTGGTTTTCTGGGAAAGGGCGTTTCTACCGCTGAATTACCGTTACAAACTCTGTGACCATCACGCGTGCAGAATTGACCGAGGACATGTTGAGTCGTTCCATCGAGAGCGACGTATCCTGATCCGGATTCAAGAGCTCGCCGATATCGAATCGACGAAAACACCGACTCTGCTTAGAATGCTCTGGAGAACAGAACTTCGAGCGAAGAACGAACTCTACCCTTTATATTACCGGAGCATATTCGTGATTGTCAAACTCGTGAATCGAAGTAACGTACATTCTATGAGTCTCCTCAGGCCGGACGATCATGGGGAGTACACGCTGGTGCGGAGCCTTCGCATCGAGAAATTGCGAATGGCAGGGGTGGAGAAAGCTTTCGATCCGTTGGAGTCCCTGGCCAATCAAAGCATCGATATCGATATGACGCTCCAGGCATTACGAGTCCAGGGAAAGAGGTCTTACTTCATCGTCCTCTTCAACCGCTGCACCGCGGTGAGTTTTACGGAAAGTCAGTATACAGTCAATAGACAGAAAAATTCCTCTGGCCGAGAGCATTGACCGAAGATGCGCGGAAACACATCTCGACTGGATCCTTATCACTTATCAAAAAAGTCGCACGACCGACCGTGGTTGCGGCAAGAATGTGTCGAAACTTGATATCGCCTTGATATAGCACTCGATCTCGATACATTGTAGGTATCTATCTATGAAAGTTGTTGCAAAGGTCTCACGCATGAGAACACATGGTGCAACGTAACTTAACTCTTGCATGATGATACAATGCAAAGGATTCGCGAGCCCGCACCTGGAGCCTGATTCAGTCGATAGACTCTGGTCACACGGAGTTTCACGTACGACCCTCATAGTATTCGAAGGTCCATAGCGTTTCTCCCCGAATGTGTTCCTCTCATCCAATTGCCTCGCAACTTTTTGGAGTAGTTTCTCTCGACTTACCGCGGACATATGTATGTATTTCGAGTACGAATTCTGCAGCTCCGATTTCTACCTCAGTGAAAAAAGTCTGAATATCCGCTCTTTTCTGCGAAAAATCATTATCCAAAGGTGCAAGTTTCACGCCTGATGACTTCGTTCGGTGTGACATGATCTATCAATTCAGCATGCGCACAGGGAGGTGGCTCATAGAAAGAGAAGTAAAGTTGCAGCTGTGAAGCGACCTCCAGGAAAGAACTCACGTCATTCCAGGAAGAGAAGGGTAATTCCGGAAGAGGAAGCTAGAAAGAAAGTCCCAAGAGCTCTGTGCCCGATTGGAGATCGCGGGGAAGGTAGGCTTCTGATCAGAACAACCGAGCTCAATCAGGATTCTTTTTCCTTTGCAGGATGACAGACTCTTCGTCTACACTTTCGGGTACATCCCAGTCCGATTGGCGGTTCCGCTCCCGTGGCGCATTCGTCTCATCTCCAATTTTCCTCGCTACGCCACTGTGGAATTTCCCCTGACGATCGCCTCACTCATAAGTCTACCCATGGTTCTGTCGATCCGGCGTCACCGATCCTTCCTGACGGTACCATCATTCTGGGAGACCTGCTACCATATACTCAGCGGTACTAGTGGCAAATCTCTGGTTCGCTCTTCGAGATACGGGACTGTCATTCTACTGATCTGCGGTCTCGCTTCCCTATTGATCCAGTACCCAATTCAGCTCCTGAGAGGAGAAGTCACTGCGAGCCCGTTCGAGCAGAGAGTTCGTCCATCGAACTGTTCGGTGCAGACCTGTGAATCGGTCGTGTATGGCAGTTATGCTCGTTGGCAAAGCGCCGACGACGAGTTCGCCCTCGTGAACCTGTTGCGAAGTAGTCACCCTCAAGCCTCAGTTACCGAAGAGAATCTCGACAAGGGATGTTCGAGTGTCTCCGCGTTTATGAACGGAATGAGAGGTCCGACAAAGCTTGCTATGCTCCTCCAATACCACACTCTCTGCGATGAGCCATACATTGTGAGGCGGGAATTGGAGTTTTCCCCTACGCAGTTGGTCTTCGAGTACATCAGACCCGGCCACGTCGCTTCCGAGTCTCTGTGTTCTTCGGAGCAAAGCTTGGGACCCTTCGGGATTGTGTATGACGGATATCTGAGATTGACTCAGCGTATTCTGGAACACAATTTACTTAAGTATGTACATGCCCAGACTTCTTTGTACATAGATGAAAATAGACAGGACTCGTTCTGGGGTAAAAACATTCCTCTTCCCTCCGTGGAGCCACGAAGACTCAAAGTCCGAATGAATTCGATCATTCGAACCCTTGCAGAGAAATATTCCGAATACTCGATGGAAGGCGAAGTTCGTGCCTTCTACCAGATCGAGATTTCGGGCGTGGGATTCATTTTCTCCTCGTTCCTCTGCTTAGAACTTTATTTTATCGTCGGATTCGCATTCAGCACCTATATCATCCTCAGACAATATCGAGGACATTGGAGTCCACTTCGGGAATGATTCGATGCCTTTTCCCCGTCCGATGAGGACTGCGCGCAACAAAGTCTGTAAGCGCTCAGAGGAAGATGCCGATGCTCGAACAACATGCCGAAAGCCATCCGAGCTCGTGTCTTATATTGTAGTGTAAAATATTGGGAGAAGGAAGGCATTTCAGCGGAGCTGACAATTAATAATCGTGGAGTACTGGAGACGTGGAAGTATTACAGAATTATCAATGGAGTTCGAGAATCGAAAAATCGCAGTCGTCGATTATCTTGCCCTGTCAGGTAGTGGGAAGCGCTGATCAATAACTAAAAGATAAGAAAGAGCGGGACGTGAGCGAAGTCTTAAACAGACTGTGCAAACCATCAGGCAGTCTCGTCGCAAGCCTGGATCTCCTCCGATTTCACTCGTTGCCACAGAACTCATCTGGAGCCATCGGAGTCGGAGATGCTTCAAACCTGCCAGGTGAAACCTACTCCCCCGTGCACATGTTCGAAGGTGGATTTTTATGGAGATCAGCTCGCCGGCAGAAACCGGTCACCAATGTTCAAGATGTCTGCCGAGGTCTATGGGCCGACTCTCACTCAGTGAGACGTCGACGCTGACGGCGTGATTCCGAGGGAACGGGAGCAAGGCAGAATTCTGCGAGAACATCGGCGAATCATCAGCCCGCCTGAAGACGGAGAATGGGGATCTAGCGAATGCGAATGGGTACGCTCATTCAGTACCGGCTCCTTGTGAAGGGCTGGACATCGTAGGGCGCGAGGCGGAGAACGAGAGCGACGGTCTTGTTCCCGAGCACGCGCATATAGGTTAGAGTTCCTCGGCTTCTACGTCAATTCCTCAGAGGCTCTCTCAGATTGTCCATACCGTTTCGCCGCGATGACTCCCGGGACGACCGAACGAGTTTCCGTCGCATCTCGAGAGACCCTTCAAACTGTCCATATTCTTCGTGGCAATTTGCGAATATCGATAGTAGCGCTCAGGGAGGAGACTTGCCGACAAAGAAAGTTGACGCCGCCCACGAGAAAGCACTACCAAAGCTACCAAGGGTACCGAAGCCTCTTCATTGGATGAGCCTCCGCATGCCAGCGACCTTGGCTGGGGATCATAAAGTAAGCGTCTTTTCCCGATTTCTCCGACTCGATTTCTTCATCCTTGCTGGGCTTAGTCTCCTTAATATATTCCTCCCATGCTACACCCCGGGATCCTGGTCTCGTCCTTGAGTGATTCTATGGCGATGCCTCATTCGATGGGACGTGTTGTAGCTGCCTTATCGGGTTGCGAGTTGCGAGGTGCCGCTCCATAAGCTACGCCGAGCTCTACACAGCCCATAGGGTCTGTTGATCAGTCCGCATGGATATTATTCCGTCCCCGGGAGGGAATGCCGCGCCAGATCGATCGTATCGCACTGAAATAACAGATTCAAGGGATCGCTCTCGCTGCTCCCAGCATTTCCCAGAACTGAACTTGGAGCTCGATCGGTAAGCATGAGGCAAAACGGAGAAAAGAACCTGCGGCGTATCTATTCTCGGTTTGATTTGGGCGACCACCCCGATATACATCGATCCTTGCGGCCCAGAATGTTCCTG